TCTTTCTTTGTCAGTGCAGCATTTAGGTAAATATAGTCCTTGGTAGATAATCCCACCTGAAATCAGTGAGATAAATGTAGCTTGAGGCATGGAAGAACTACAGTCATGGCAAAATAATAGCTAACAGGCCATGTATTAGTTGCTATAAACCAGTAAAGAAAATCGATTAACCTATTTCAGTATTGTACCTGGCTATATTTTGTAGATTTTTCACTAATATACATGTTTACTTTGACAATTACTGTCCATTTATGCCAGCTTTAGTCACTAAGGAGTTTGCTTTGTAAGTAGACCAGCTGGCTTTAATAGGGACTACCAACAGGAAGAAATTAATATGTAACTTGAGAAAAAGGAAGTCTGATCCACCACCTGTTTATATTCTGTGACTGCATTCTGGTCCTCGAAAACATTTTTGTGCCATTAGTATTTAGTGACTTTGGGTCAAAACCAAAGCAGAGGAAGAAGACAGGAAGATTTTTCATTGTTGGTCAAGCAAGATACATAAAAGTTGTCAGCTTAAAGAATTCAGGAAGGTTACAAAGAATTCACTTGGGGGAAATATTTTCCTGCACATATTAAATGAGCAGTTCTACCTATAGGGTGTTGTGCATAATTTCTAGATAGTCAGAACCTGCTTTTAATTTTTTTTTCTTATTTTTATTTGTCTCCCTATTAAAAAAACAGGATTCTGAGCCACTTCCTGAGTCACTTGGTAAACTTTGCTACAAGCAGTTAGCACATATCCCCCATTTCATAAATGATTAACACTCCACTGTAAAAGTAGCTAGAAATAATGCAGACAAAAAAAAAAAGTCCTGTTGTAACATTCCAGAACCTTGCTACTTATGGGAGTTAGGACTTGTCTCCTAATCAATCCTAAATACATTAATGGACAGTTTATAACTGTCTGCTGCGTGTCTTATGGTTTAAGTAGCTTTTTCTTTACCAAGTACTTTCATCCTCATGATACAGCAATGAGATAAGGAAACAAAGAGTAACAGCAACAATATCAATGACAGAGGGTACGTGAAAGGAACAATTCACATGGAAGCCCCCCAGCATCAGGCAATACCCCATGGCTCCCTCTGCCACGCTGCCCCCACTGCTCCCTCCAGCTCGGAACCAGCATTACCCAACCACTCTCTCCAGCTCGGAACTGGGGCCACCCCACCGCTCCTTCCGCCGCACTTACTTGACTAGGAGGAACCCCTCCTCCCTGGAAGAGACTCCTTTCCTCCCACCTCTGGTAATGATGTGAGGTGATGTAGAATAACCTTGAGGTCCTAGACATGCCCCTTCCTGGCTACTGCAAAAATTACCCCTGTCCTGGCTGGAACCAGGACAGAGCCCATCTTTTTGCTTTCTGTTCGTCTTGACAACCGTGAACAATTTTTAGGGCCAGCCACTTTCAGAAGCAACCCTGGAACTTGCTGCTTGAACTCAGTGTTGCTGGAGCAGCCAGCAGGAGAGCCTTGGCAGCCAGGGAACCTGAGTTCCCTGCTGTGCTCTCAAGGCCCTTACCTTGGGATACTTCACTGGCCCTGATGTCTCTGCTGATCAGGCCCATTGATTTAGCAATGCAGTATCAAGGCTGAACTATGCTGTTCCTCAGAACCTTGTGTCTGCCTCTCAGATATAATGCCTAGATGAAAATCAACATGATTTGGGGTTTTGAAATGGCTTAGATGCTGTGAAATACAACAATGGAAAGGAGAATATAGGACCTGATTTATGGTTCTGCTTGAACTGATTTTGAAATAAACAATAGTTTATAATTTATTCCTAGGACTTATATTTTTCTCAAAAGCTGAATATTTGTAAGAAGCTTGTGGTTTTTATCTTGTAGAAACTGGAGGCAGAGGCAAATATTGCTCATTTATATTCCTCCTGTGTGGTGAATGAGACAATAGACCTGTGGAAGTAATTATGGGAAACAATGTGGTTGGAGACTAGGATTATAATACATCCTCTAAAATAAGAAGGGAAACATTTCACAGACAGTATTAATTTTGACAGTAACTAAATTTGAAGTGTTTGGTTTTAATTTTAATTGTGTTTTGTCAGTAATTAGATAGAGGTTATATGGCTACATTTTGTTTGAGCTTAAAGCTAGAGAGTATGTGATTTTTTTCATGTGGAAAGTGAGGTATAACTGTGCTTTAAGGTCTTCTAATATTCTTTGTAAATGTAGAAATCTTTTGCAAGTTTAGTGCAATGTTCATCATCTTAACGTTTTATCTATTTAAATAATTATTTTTCCCTTAATGAGTGAACACTGAAGTAATTTATCTCAGAAGAATACTCATCAAAGTGTCAACTGTATTCAACTAGAAGTGGTTTGTTTTTTTTAAAAAATCCCTTTAAACTTTTTCCTGACTTTTTTTAATCTGAAACTAGAACTAGAGACTCATAAATCTAGTAATTTTTGTACTGCCAGAAGCCACAGTGAAAACTAGCAAACAATCAGGACCAATTTCACAAGGAGAAGAGGCAGTTTCATGCCTTATTAAGATTTTTTAGGTTATATCCCACTTCTCTTTCTCTTTCTTCTACCAAACCTCATAACAATATGAATAAAAAAATAATTATTTGCTGGAATTCAGCACCCAGTCTTGCATCTCAGCTTGGGTTATGTATACGTGAGAGAGAAGAAGAGAGACTGACAGACAGACTAACTGTTAATGGAAACAGATAAAAGAAAAAAATCTTTTGGAAGAAAGTAGAAAACCCCCGTCCTTAAAGTATCAAGTAATTAATCAAGAGTGGCAGTATTAGAGCATGCAGTGAACACAGAAGAGTAATTTGTAATAATTGCAAATAAAAATCATTTTAATCCCAAACCCGCAAATGTTGTACACTTACCAAAGTACTTCGTGACCAAATATTGTTACTTTTCTTAGTATGTTAAATTATTTATTCCAGAACTAAAATAAGAGTGGAATTTCTTTGATAAATGGTTCCAAAATTTTGTGGTTTTTCTTTTTAAAAAATTAAGAAGCAGCTTAAATGTCAAGCCAGGAACCTCATTTATTTTTTCTGTTAATTGTCTGCTGTTAATAGAAAACAGGATCAAAATATCATAAATAATTTTCCTTGGAGTAATGACAGTCTATAAAAATTTTTACTGTAAACAAGATTCAGATTATAGAAAATTTAGAACATGTTATTTCTATCCACATAATCATACTTCTTGCCATTTGCAAGATACTTCAGAGTAGTTGCAAAGCTTGGTGCCATGCCAAAAGGTATCCTGAATGTTATTCCATCATTGCTCACATTATTGCAAGTACTAACTAGATGTAAATTCTATTAATATTAAAAGTGATTTTCAACCTAATCTGAAGTTAATTGGGAGAGAGTTTCAAAGTGAGGTCATGTGGTGCTGATATGATAGATTACAAGAAAAAGAGGATATATACCTCCCTTCTGTCAAACCCTAACCCAAGGAAGCAAACAACATGGACAGTGATTATTTCTTTAGCTAACTGCCTTTCTCTTTTCTGACCCTGAAGTTTGCTGGTTTAATTAAAAAACTTTTTCTGACATGTTGAAGGATAAAAAAATCTTCTCTGATTAGAGACCTCCCCTGGCAGAGTTTAAGATTGTGCCCTCTTGTCCTACTGCTGGTTCTGTGGTAGAAGAGACTGACCCCCACCTGGCTACAACCTCCTTTCAGGTAGTTGTAGAGAGTGATGAGGTCTCCCCTGAGCCTCCTCTTCTCCAGATTAAACAACCCCATCTCCCTCAGCCTTTCCTCACAGGGCTTGCATTCCAGTCCCTTCACCAGCCTCACTGGTCTTCTCTGGAGCTGCTCCAGCACCTCAATATCCTTCCTGAACTGAGGGGCCCAGAACTGGACACAGCACTCCAGGTGTGGCCTCACCAGCACTGAGTACAGGGGCAGAATCACTTCCCTGCTCCTGCTGGCCACACTGTTCCTGATCCAGGCCAGGATGTCATTGGCCTTCTTGGCCACCTGGGCACACTGCTGGCTCATGTTCAGCTTCCTGTCAGTCCAAACTCCCAGGTCCCTTTCTGCCTGGCTGCTCTCCAGCCACTTTGTGCCCAACCTGTAGTGCTGCAGGGCGTTGTTGTTGAGTTATATGACAAGGGACATTTACCCCTGAATAATAAGGTCCAAGTCTCCACTCTGAAATTACTAGTGTTTAAGGATTTTTAAATCCTTCTGGTTAATATATTTAATATATAATAAATCCTTCTGGTTAATATATTTCTCTATGCTTTTTTCAGTTTTCTAAAACTTTGGGAACACTGTAATACTTTGTACCTTCAAAAAGCATATAATGTGCATTCATGTCAATGGTGTCCAGACCACTTATTTTTCAGAAATTTGTGAGTGGTTGGTGTAAATTGTAATTCACAAGGATGTTTGTCTTAAAAGCTGAATTAAAGCCCATGTATTATGGAACTGAAAGTATTCAGTATAATTTTTAATACCTCTTCAGTTAGTAAAATTGCGTAGAACACAAATACTGCAGAAAAAGTGTAACTGTTGTAGGTGCTTAACTGTACAGTGAATAATCTAGTGAAATAGCTCAACAAGGGAACTGGATTACGAGACATGTCAAATGCTAAATGGTTAACTTTATCATGCATTTGAAAAAGACCTGCTTATTTCAAGTCAAGAAAAGATGACATGCTAAACTTGAATGACTTAAAAATACCTCCATTATACTCTAGCCACTTTAAAAAAATCTCACAGGCTAACATTTTCTCAACTGAGAAAATGAATCTTCTTGTTTCCAATAAAGTCAAAACAAAGCATTTAACATCTGCTTTTCTGTATTAATTCATATTTTTACACGTAGTAATTTTTGCACTGAATTGTTACTAAGAGAGTGGTTAAATCTCTGACATACCAGTCAGCATATTTTTCTTTGTTACCTGAATTTTGTTTTCAGTATTTGTTTTCAAATTACTCTTGTAGTAACCTCACTCTCTTTTCTGGTTTTCTTTTTATTTTTTTTTCCCTTATGCAGAGGATTACTACTTCAGGAAAACAGCAGGTTTTCAGAGGCATTGCATTACTATAAACTGGCAATTGGAAGCAGGCCCACACTAGCTTGTAAGTATTTCAACTATACAAGCTTGTATAATACTGACTATAGTTTTATAGAAAATTTTCCTACTCTTTAATAACACTTTCCTTTTTCTCAGAAGTTTTTAATTCAGAAAGCAAAAGGTGAAATTGTGCACTTGAAAACAAGTGTTTATTAGTAAACAACTACATTTAGTGTGGTAGAAGAAGCACATAATGAGTTAAAATGAGCAGCACAATTAGAACCTAAAATGCTTCTTAACTGGGATGTTGAGCCACAAATACTACTGCCCAAGTTTTCAGGCTCTTGTTTGCTGTTCCTTACAGCCGCTCCCTGGTATTTATGGTATGCATGAGCAAATAATACAAATATTTTTTAAGTCCTTTCATTTTTCCTTTCTTTCCTGGGGAAAATAATCATTGAGATGTTGCCAGTGACCGGTTCTAAAATTAAGTGGGTGATTTTTAAGATTGCTGAGAATTTTGTACCTTCAGTATTAAATCTTCTATATATGTATATATGCATATGCATGTGTTTATGTATATGTATATTTTTGTAACATTTCAAGCAATCATGTTATTGCTTGATACAGTCCTAGTAAGAGGAACGAAGTAGAGTACCCTGCCTAACCATTGTTTTCTTTCCTCCTTACTCAGTCTTTATAGCCACTTTCTTCCTTCCTTCGTCTACTTTTACCTCTCATATGTTCACATGTTCATTATATGTTTATCTATAATAATAACATAACCATGGGATCTCTACCAGATGCTACTTTGAATTAAAACAGTAGATAAAGTATAACAGAACTCCATTGAAAGTAAAATTTTTTTCCCTCTTCACAGCTGCCTATTTAAATACTGGTATCATCCTGATGAACCAAGGGAAGACAGAGGAAGCCAGGAGGACTTTTGTGAAGTGCTCAGAGATCCCTGATGAAAATCTGAAAGATCCTCATGCTCATAAAAGCTCTGTTACCAGCTGTCTTTATAACTTAGGAAAACTTTTTCATGAACAAGGACACTATGAGGTAAGACTCCAGATTTGTCTATAATATCATGATAAAACCTTCATATGTAAATAATATCTACTGCTTCTACCTAGACTTTCAAAATGCATCATAGGCACACATTTCACCAAATCAAGATTAGCATTCTCTACAGAGAATATTTAGTCTCTACAGCCACAGATGTGATGGTATTAATTAGTAGTGTGATATTCTCGTGTCAGAGTCAACATTAGTAGTAGTCACATCTGATATGTGTAAATTCATTGGTTTTGGCTTTGTACCTGTAGCTGGTATGCAAAGGACATAACCTGATTACAGACCAGTCAACCTAAAGTGTACTGGCTTTATAATTCCAAACAGAGTAAGTCCATCCTTAGTTAGAAAAATGCTATTATGTTTGCTTTTGAGTCTCCAAAAATAAGAGCCAGTTGAAACAATTTAAAACTTCAGTGATTAAAAACATCCCACTGTGTGCTATTTTCAGATAACTTGACCTAAGTGCTAAAGTGAGTTGGATATTTTAACGTAACCATATGCTGCGTCCAAGCCATCCCATCTTATTTACATGTGCAAATGTGACTGCTGTGATTCCTCTCTATTTTCCCTGATGAATTTACTAAAACTAGACATTCACTTGAGTTTTGACCTCTGGCAGCATTTGAAAGAAAGTCATTCTTTCCTGGCATTGCTGGTAGAGCTGTGTGTGGTTTTGATCCATATAAGTGTTCCTGACCTTGACAGTTACCTCAGCTGTGTAAGGCTAGGCATGCACAAACTCTGCAGATTCTGTGTCATCTGTCTGCTGCATCCAGCTCTGTCAGGTGGCTGTTACTAATTGGTTAAAACACAGACAGCTAATGCACACGTACAGGGGAGAGAACAGCAGCATGTTGTCTGCACAGCTGGTGTGGAGCACCTCAATACCCAGGAGGGACTTTAAGAATATAAAACATCATATTTCTGCCTGATGGTCATTGCATTCTTGATTTGATCATACTTTTAGGTTCTTTTCAAACATAGCCTTCATAAGCTGTGACTATTTTATGCAGAGCTAACAGACTGACCAATAACCATCCAAAGTGCTGAATGAGTAAATGTGTGATCAAGTAATTTAAGGTACAGAATATTTGCAAGGGGATTCCTGTTTTGGCATCCTTGACTTTGTAATGCATCTCATTCTTTCTGTAGAGCAGACTTCAGTTGTGAGGATTATGTTTTGTTATTATTTGGCAGTAGACAATGATTTCTTTACTTTTAGGTCACTTAGCGTAGCTTTTTCTTCAGAAAGTTCTTTGTCTGCAATTTGATATTACTCCATATTCTTTGACAGCCTACAGAATTTTATATCTGCTTATAAACTCATCAGTCATTAAGGGGTATAAAAAAAATGTTCTTGTTACTTCCACCTGGGAAAAGAGATGCATTATTGGAACTAATCTGATCTCTTGTCAATAAGCTTCACTGAATTTGGTAAAATTCAGGTAAAAAAACTTTTTAAAAGGAGAAATTTGAACTTTTGTGATATTTATGATGCTGTTGTGTTTTCTCTCTGCGCCATTCATTTGGGGAAGGAAGATAGTTTGGTTTTACTCTATATGTGAAAGTATGCTTTTGAAATTTATGTTTTCCCGCTTGTGTGTTTCTTTTCAGGATGCCCTTATGGTTTACAAAGAAGCAGTACAGAAAATGCCAAGGCAGTTTGCACCACAGAGCTTATATAACATGATGGGTAAGTGCATTGTTAGTGCTTTAGAATGATATCTGAGGAGTCAGGCAGGGTGAAACAAAAGAGCTTAGCCAGGCAACTGGTGCTGAAATGAATTAGCTAATAAACCCCCAAAATAATTACCTTCAGTAGATACAAGTCAAACTAGGTTCAGAGCTTAAATGCCAGTAACTGCAGCGCTGGATGACGCACAATAAATGATGAGATTATTAGATACTGGATATCTTGAAGAGTGTCGATGCAGCTGTTTTACATTTAGAATGTGTGGATTAGTGCTTTTCTCTGCCTCCAGAATGTCTCATCCACTATCTTGGAGGGCCAATGTGCAATTCTTACTTGGTGTTTTGTTTTGGTGGTTTTTTTTAGGTCTCTCATATAGTCATCTTTGAAACTCTAAAAAAAATGAAGTGAGATTGATTATAACATAAAATTTAGTGTGGGGAATTAGTTTTTGAATTGCTTTGCAGATCAACATGGTGTCCAAACAGGCTGCCAGAGATGTTTGTACTTTTTTTTTAAGTTTTCCCAAAGACTTACTTCCCAACTGATGTACTTTTGGTTAGACATCTACTATGAGAGAATTCTTCTTCCAGCTATCTGTCCTTCAAAATTTTAGAAGAGTCCCTTGAGTACTGCAAGAAACATCAATTTTGCTGTGAGGTGTTTTATTTAATTTCAGCTCCTCATATTCTACATCACATCTTTATACAGGATACATTAAACAGATAAAAGAAAGAAGAAAATATTAATGACTGTTTTTAGTACTGAGATCTGTAAACAAAAGGGTATCTTCTTATTGTTCCAGAGATGTTTTTAAGTGAAATTTTCTCTGAAAGGACGTGTTTCTGCTAAGCAACCTCAGTGTCTGGCCCAGTACTCTGTGAGGACAGAAAAGGATGTGAGAACCTTTACTTTAAAGTAGTTCAAAGTAAAACAATTAAAAATGTATGTGGAAACAATTAGGGTCAACAGGAAGCATGTGGGGTTTTTTGTGGTTCCCCCCACCAATGCCTAATGTACAAGGGAATGTATTGGTTGATACCAATTGGTTTGACACATTTGTTGAAAGGAGGTACTACTCACTCTTCTCTACTTATGAAGAAAAGGCATCTTTTAATAGCACCTTAAAAGTACTAGGGCACAGGGAAAAAGTTTCATTGTATTTGTAATTGATGCTACGTATTTGAAAAACGTAGATGTACATGCTAAACTAAGTTCTTCTCTTGTCACAGTGACAAAGTATTTAATGTCAGTAACAGTATAAACACTTCCTTAGCAGTTCATATGGCTCAATGGTGAGTTACTTCTCCGTGGACAATGAACTTTATCAGATTGATGCCAAGGGCTAAAATCTGTAAAATGGACAAATTGATTATTTCATGTAATTTTGTTCATTATGAGTCTTAGTGAAATTACTGTTTTATCAGTTTTATTTATCAGCATTTGCTGATAGATTTGGTATTATCTGTATTATCAGCAATCACCACTGTGTAAATTAAGTCTCTGCTTACTGTTGGACACCAACAGGGACTGCTGTTGTAGTATAGGTATCACTCAGTCACACCTATAGTGACTGCTGAAGTACTCTTGCATTGTATTTCACAGATTATTCTGAGTAGGAAGGGACTCACAAGAATCATCGAGTCCAACTTTTAAGTGAATAGCCCCTATAGGGATTGAACCTGCAACCTCTGTGCTATTAGCATCATACTCTGACCAACTGAACTAATTTCAGGATCATTGCAGTGCTTGAGCAAATCCTCTGAAGTTTGACTGCCCTCTTTCTTGCAGATATGTATTTCATAATTCTGATCAAAGTGTTCCTCAGAAGTATAAAATTTGAAAAATTAAACCAGTGCTGTTTCTAGCATGATGGTTTACTCATTACAAAGCAGGCCTGTGCCACCCTTTTTCTTTTCCCATGAATAGCTGGGAACCCTTTAGATGGGGTTCCTTTAGAACCACTATGATCTATAAGTTTCTCAGGTTTTTATTTTTTTTTGTGCATTGGTTACTTTTTTAGGTTCAGGAGGCGTTTCTCGGCTTCCTTTGTAAGCACAGTCCGTGACATCCAAGTTCACTCTGTTCCTGGGATTTTCATTCATTAACTCACAAAACCTTAGTGAATACAAAGACCAGTTGAAGTCCTTTGCCCAGGCTTGGCTTCTGCTATGTTTTGTCCCACTGTTCCTTAGGCCATACTCCAGCTTCTGCTTCCTTTATGCAGCTACCAGCACTTCACGGATGTCCTAGTGGCATAACAAGCTGCAGTCGACTGAGCCCCTTATGGAGCTCTGTGAAGTTTAGCTTATTATTAACATAGGATATATTTGTGTTTTGGTTGCCATTGTGATGGCAGCTGTTGCAAGGAAAAAAGCACTTGCTTCATGCTGGTTGCTGAGGTGTTGCTTGTAGGTTATGCTGCAAAAGCAATCCGAGAGGCTGCATAATGAGTTGGATAGTGACTTGAATGCAATGCAGCTGTATTAACAGGACTCAGACTGATTTGTTCAAAGCTGTCCTGTATGTGTCTACATAAGCCCACATGGCTGCAGTTAGTCTCTCCTACTTGTAATAGTATAAAGGTTAGATGACAAGACAGAGCTAGGTAGCTATGCTTCTTTATAGTGCAGAAAGGAAACCATACCTCTGGGGACTAATGAAGCCTGTATAACTTAGACATCTATTTTAGATTATAAAAATAATCCCTTGCAAACATACTTCTCCTCTAAAAGGAGCTGAAATGACTAGCTTAGACTTAGTAGCTTAAGTAGGGTGAGATAAATCCTAAATACCTCTTCAGTCATCTCCTTGCATTGGATGTGACAGGAGAACAAGGCAACTGCATCCATTATCAGGCGTGCATCCACTTTGCAGCTCGTATTGTGTCATTGAGTATCAGAAGGCCGACTGGGTTGTTTATTTCTGTTTTGATGTTCAACACAAAATTATAAACATGTTCACTATAACACTTTCTTTGATAAACAGCATTACATAAACTTGTCTGCCTACTTCTCGCCTTTAAAAGGAAGACCAGTGGAACTGAAATAGGCCAGTCCTGTCTCGTTGCGCTTGCAATCTGTCTGAGCTGTGCCCACTCACTGTATGCTCATTGGTGGGGAGGAAGGGGGAGAAACTGGGGAAGTGCTCTCCATCTGCTTAAGAACCAGTAGAAGGAAATAGTCCTTCCCCATTTCCCCACATGTGGAAAAAGTCATCACAGCTTGTCATGAAATCCAAGAATAGTTACAGTTTAAGGATTATCTGCTGTGGTTGTTATTGAGGTTAGTGTATTCTGAGTCTCTGGCAGTCTCTCTGCTTGGTTGAGTGGCGCACATATTACTACATCTTGGCATATGATAAAAGAAAGTAGTGCTTCCTCTCATTTTTTAAAATTATTCAATCATGTAGTTGAAGATTCTTTTGAGTTTTTTCCCCCCTGTATGATGTCCATGACCTATTTGAAAGAGAATAAACAGGAGATAAACTGTTTAAACTGAATTAGGTTTGAACTCTAGCACTCTGAGTGCAGTAGTATTAACACTCCAGCAGTGCTAAGCCTTTACACCACCTGCTTTCCCTGTTTGTGTTGCACTTCTTTTCCTGTGCTTGCTTCTATTGGCCTTTTGGTCTGACAAGCCTAGTGGCTCATTCCTCTGGTGTGTCATTCTTCATGACAGACTCTCATCCTTTAAAACACTAAATAACTTGCCTCTTTAGGGGAAAAAGAAGTATCGGGGCTCAAGAAGCAGGCCATCCATTTGACTTTGCATTTTATTCATGGTACAAAAGACAGGGCCGGAATACTGCCATCAGATGTTCTACGTTTGTGCATATGAAAAGTTGCAGGGAAGATTTTGGTCTCCTGTTGCCATGATTTATTTTGCCAGGTGTGCAAAAACTCAGCTAAGGAAACCATATGTTTCTCTGGCTTTGTACCAAGAAATAAAACTTTTTTTTTTTTTTAAATTTTATTTTTAAAGAACCCAGAACAGCTAAAACTTGAAACTCTAAAACTAGAATCAAAATAATTATTCAACAAGCTATATAATGTTGGCTTAGTATTTATTTTCTCTATGTCATATTTCTTTGATGTAAATTAAAAAGTACATGCTAAGGTTACACAGATTAATTTGCTTGGCATGGCGACTTGCACTACAAAGATCAGAGTCCAGCTCAGCTGTATTAAGTAGGTAATATATTTTGTTTAAAGTTTCAATTAAAGCCTGAGGTCAAAAGATAAAATGGTCCCAGTGGGATTTTGAATGTTTTAATGCCAATATTAGGATTGCTTAAGGATCAGCCTCTGCTCTAGATGTCTTTTGCATTCCTTGAAATCTGATATTGTACAGTTGATTGTGTTACATTGCTTTTAAAACCACACTAGCCCACCTGCTACAGTAATTCATACTCCTGACAGTTAAGTGGTGTGAGGTGGACCATAGAGGCTTTATTTTAATACCAAGCAGTAACAAGAAAGATGTTGGGGTGGCATTGTTCAGGTTTAGGTTGTCAGGATACTGTCTTAAAGACAAATGTCTTGATTGCATTTCATCTGCCCTTGCTAACTAACATCTGAGTTTCTGTTTTCAAATGCATTTAATGGAAAGCCTTACAAATATTTTTTATGAGAAATGCAAATTACAAAAGAAGCTAACATTCCAGGAGTGAATACAGCTCATGATGCACAAATTAAAGTTTAGATTTCTCATTGCTAATCTTCTGCATTGCACATGGACAGAAAACAAATCGTACATAAGTGTACAGACCAGAAAAGGGGAGCCAGATTTTACATCTGGCTGTGGCAGAGCTTTATATCATAAGTAAAAAGGCTTAGCATGCAGAGAGATTTCTGTTTTGATGACTATAACATAACTATCACTTTGATTTTGCTTTTGGGTGGATGTGGCTGTTTCTACAAACCTGTTAATATTGTTAAGGCTCCTATCCCATTTACCCTTTGCTTTCTTATTGAATTATCTTAAAATATTGTTTAGAACTCC